CAACTGTAAGAGACGACGACGAAGAGAAACAAGAACCATCCAGCAATTTAATTTGATTACATCATGCTGAAATTACTTGGCATTTAAATTTTCTTCCTTTCTTCTCAATTATGCTCAAAATGAGTATCTTTCTTGCTACATGCAAATATGAGAAAATGTGAATTTATGAAAATTGCATGAAAAAAAAATTAAGGAGAGGTAAATAATTGTGTTATATTAGCATTGAAAATGAGCAAGTTTTTTTTTTGGTATGAAATGTTTGGATAAGTTTGGTATTGAGGTGCATCTTTTGAAGGGTTTTAAAGTTTATAGGGTTTAAAGAGTTTAGCAAGAAATTAATACTTTAAAAAAATCTAGGTGCAATTTTTTGGAATATTTAATTTTTTAATGAACAAACTCTACTGTAAGCATTGATTTATAAACTAGGTTTGGGATTCCGTTATTAAAATATTTTGAATAATAACAAATATTAAAATTTGTAGATTTAATTTCGAAGTTAAATAATTCTATTAATAAAATTAATCAAAAATCAAAGGTTCAATTCCTGAAGTTTTAAATAAATAACACGTAAACTCCTCATATCGATTTTTTTTTTGCATCTCAACTTCCCCTCCAACCCAAAATCCCAAACAATTCTTCAATTTCCAAAGTCCCTCGCAAACGAATGAAATAAACTAATTGCGCATATTAAATCAAATCCTCATTTCCGCTTATCTTGTAGCTAATGAAATTTTCTCTTCAATTTTTTCTCCCCATTTTCACTTCTTCCGCTTCCACTCCTCTTCCTTTCACTGAATTTTTCACAATTCAAATAAATTTTGTTTAGTTAAAATATTCAAAGTCGATTACAGAAAATGAAATTTCAAGTGTAGCCGGGAGAGTTCTTGTGCTAGCTTCAACTTTTTTTTTGTGTGTTCGTGAATGCATCAACATAAAGCATGATGTATCGTGTACTGTAATGATAATGGGTAGTACTATCATAACGTAATATGAAGGAATAAAAGGAGAGCAATTTCATGTGAAGTTTCAATTTTTTTCCGCTATATTTTTCTTTTATGTTCGAGCGCATAGCTGCATGAAATTACATTTTCAAAATCAATTTATTTCATTTTTGCATGAAACGGCATTCTTTTTTTCATGTATGAAATTTAAATGGGAATAAAAGGAGGTGAAGATAAAGGCAATGCCACTGTTGATGACATTATCACATATTTTTAAATTTTACATCAAATTCATGTCTTTTGTGTATATGCCTCACCTCTGATGCCGACCTATTCACAACACAAATTATTTTTGTTCAAAAGATGATTTTATCATGAATATTTCAGAAGCCTAAGATCACATCCCGCTTTGGGGTCGTTCATAAATGATGTTCAACTTATAATGAGATGCGCCAGAAGCTATAAGACTCTTTAAAGCAAGGAAAATGTAACTTTTATATAGATTGGGATTGAAAAAAACCCCAAATTTCAGAGTGACATCATTTACGAACGACTCCCTACCTCTCATTTATTTTTCATTTATTTATTTTTCTTCAACTATTTTCTTAATATTGATGGTTTAAAAAGCTCGAGCATCACCCTTTTCAACTATCAAGTTTACTTCTTTAGTCATTAAGTTGTCTGTCGAAACATCTAAAGTTTAATGTAATGTTCCATTCCATCAGTGAAGCGTAAAAATTTTATTGACAAGCACGAGCGTCATTAAAAAAAAAAATGTAAAATAAAAATCGGAAGCTTTTAAAGCTTTCAATATTCAGCTCTTCTATTTCCATCATAAATTTTGAGAATTCAACAGTAAGTTTCCATAAGCACCTTAAATTAAAGATAAATGCAATGCCACTGTTGATGACATTATCACATATTTTTAAATTTTACATCAAATTCATGTCTTTTGTGTATATGCCTCACCTCTGATGCCGACCTATTCACAACACAAATTATTTTTGTTCAAAAGATGATTTTATCATGAATATTTCAGAAGCCTAAGATCACATCCCGCTTTGGGGTCGTTCATAAATGATGTTCAACTTATAAGAAGATGCGTTAGAGACTATAAGACATTTTTAAGCAAGGCAAATGTCATTTTTATATAGATTTGGGGTTAGAAAAATCCAATTTTCAGAGTAACATCATTTACGAACGACTCCCTACCTCTCATTTATTTTTCATTTATTTATTTTTCTTCCTTCCTCTTCAGTTCTTCACAATTTTTTTTTATCCTCGCTGCTCATCTGGTGGATGTGATTCATTAAAAAAAGTGAAGCTTTATTCAACTTGTACAGTCTCATCTAGTTATGAGAAGAAAAAATACTCAATGTCATTGCTTATCGTGGGGATTTTATAATGCAACGAGATGATGTCTTCGTGCACCGACCAACTTGATTTTCATGACACTAAAACTATCTCTCAACGAATCCACAGAAGGTGAGCAAAGAGATAAATTGATTAAGAAGTTTTCATCCTTTCATGTCCGTTGTGCGAGAACATTCCTTTAACTTTTCCTTCCATCTATTTTTTGCATCAGTTGGAAATCAAATTTTTTAGTGCTTTAAAATTAATGAAAAAGTTTGGGAATGTGCGCAGTTCTCTTGACAAAAGTCGATGATATTAATGACATTTTTAGTGCTTTTTTGGAGCTGTTGTGAGTAGTTGAAGGAATTGGAATGTAAAGGAAGGGATGTTGAGGTTTGAGGACCTCCAAATTCTGAGAGTGGGAAGGATGTAGCAACTTGAACCCTACATCCTGAAGCAAAAGCTCAACTAGAGATATGGATGTCTCCAACATGTTGATCAAGAACTTTTAAGTGGAGCCATACCCAGAAGTGACATCAAAAGAAAACAACCCCTCATCACAATCTCAACAAAAAGCCATTGTCAAATACTGTTTCATTTAATAACAATTCTCATACTAAATAGCAAGCATCACATGCATGTTACAGCATGTATCTTGAATAAAACTTTTCAATTTCTTACAATATGAGAAAAGAGCAAGTTCTTCTTAAATTAAAGAATGACAAGAATGTCAACTATTTTCTTAAAATTGATGGTATAAAAAGCTCGAGCATCACCCTTTTCAACTATCAAGTTTACTTCTTTAGTCATTAAGTTGTCTGTCGAAACATCTAAAGTTTAATGTAATGTTCCATTCCATCAGTGAAGCGTAAAAATTTTATTGACAAGCACGAGCGTCATTAAAAAAATGTAAAATAAAAATCGGAAGCTTTTAAAGCTTTCAATATTCAGCTCTTCTATTTCCATCATAAATTTTGAGAATTCAACAGTAAGTTTCCATAAGCACCTTAAATTGCTCAATCAATTATCTCATCTCATCTCATTCTTTCAATAATTAAAGTAAAGAATTTCATGTTAAATCTCTTGGCAATATTCGAGAACATCACATGAACTTGTTCATCCTTTATTATTTTTTTTTATTATTCTTCAACACATACTCTACATCCTTCCTCACCCACATCATCATCTTTTCTTTTAAAGCATTCCTTTTTTTGCCATCTCTCTCTTTCGATGCGACATGAGAAACTATTTTTTTCAATTAAATTTTTTTTATCATCCTCTTATGCTGTACACTCTCATGACATGGAACATAAGCAACATCGAAACGATGTTCACAAATGTATACAAACATGCTTAGAGTATGCCAATGGAAGCTTGAGATTCAAATTTATTTGTATGATTAGCTAGTCAACTACAGCTAAGGGGTGCTTGACTGATATTGATGAAAAAAATTTGCAAATGACGTCTATTAAGGATGAATTTTTAAATCAACATTTTTTTTTGTGTATTGGGATCTAACGAGCAAAGGAGAAAAAACCACTTGACGGAAAGTCAACTTTCATTATTTTTCCGGAGAGATTAAGAAAGCCGAAGTCTGACTCCGAAGCTGACCAAATGTCAAGTGCATACCTTCTCGTGGTATCTCTTGATACCACTAAATGCACCACTGGCAACTGAGCCCTGTTCGAGCATAAGTACTTTAAAGGATAGTAAAACAAACAAGCTCGCCTGGAGGGTGGCAGCCCCTCATTCAGGCTGGAGATGGTGAGGTTTACAACCAACCATTCACGAAATCAACATGAACAACAGGCGCGTAGCCAGGGGGGGTTTTGGGGGACAAATCCCCCTTTGTCTTGAGAAATTTCTTCGAAAAAATCACCCCCCCCCCCAAAGTTTTCCATACAAAAAAATTTGCCCCCCCCCTCTTCAAATTCCTGGCCACGCCTTTGATGTACAAAGAAAGCAACATAAGGTACACAGGACTGGAAAAATTTCCATCATCGAGGAAAATTATCATTAATTTTTTTTTCAACAAGTGGTTTCCCCCCTGAACAGAGCTCAAAGCTAGAGGTCACTTAAAAACTGTTTCTTAGGCAAGATTCAGAAAGCGAGATGAAGGTTCAAAAACCTACTCGGATCCTCTTTCCTAACCATAGCTAATATGTGGTTTAATGTTATAAATAGGAGTTTGTGTCGACTAGGAGGAGGAGATGGTGAAAACTAGAAGCAGTTGTCGACTAGGACTAGATACAAACTAGCTATTCTATTCCAGAGGTAAAATAAGATTTGAATGGAGACCGTCGATGCCCGGGTAGATCTAGAAATTCGTCTAAGATACATTATAATATTGATTATTCCACACCATAGTCATCAAAATGACACTAACCCAACAACATTTTCAAAACTTATTCACTCCATCTACATTACACAACACCATCTTAACAACAACTTATTTCAACATATTTTAATGCATCGATAAGCTCAAAAAATTTCAATAAATTTCTCACACCCTCGGACTAACCAGCACTCGCTCATTTGCTCCATGTTTTTCTTTCGTATCAATATAAAAGATGGATATATACATAAGAATGCTATTGTACTTTATCTTTCATACTTGAACATCCTTTTTAGCACAATAAAATAATGAAGTAGGGGATGGAAAAAAAAATTTGCAAAGGACAAAAATCCAGCAATGTATCAACTTACTTGATTCTATTGTACACAAGCTCTTCCGCTATCTCTCTTCCCAGCTTACTGTATGTCGTCTCAACGAACACAAGCACTTTTGAGTCTATCCTTAATCTCGCCTCTGACCTATGATCATGTGTTTGCGAAGGATCTGATGGTGATTTATTTAGTGTTTGACAATGAATCAATGGCATCGGTTTCGTGTCACGATGAATGAGACTGTAAATATAATAATAAAGAGGAATGATTAATAAAGCATTCAGAGTGCATTTCCGTAATCTCTTTTTGAATACACAAAACATTTTGCTGGATTTAGTTAATAATAATGTTAAGTAAGTCAGTAAGCAGTAATAAATTTGTGTTGAAGTGATTTTCATTGTTTTTTTTGTGTCTCGCATTACAATCACATGATGAACAGTAATCGTAGTTCTGATGCCATGCATTCATGCTTCCCGAGCAGCAAATTTTTATTTTATTTGGCTGCAAGACAGCAGTGAGAGAGGAACCTACGTTTCTCTGACTTCTTGTAATAAACAAAACAACGTAGTGATGCCCTGGCAACTGAATTATACTGCTCGGGTATTTTTACAATACATAAATTCAGGCTCACTCATGTATGCGAGGATATAGAGACACATACATATTGGGGATAAAAATATTCCTTACATGGAATTGAAAAAGCGAAAAATGCTTTTTTTTATATCAAGAATTACAAAAAAAAAGTCTGTTGCGAATGAGAACGCCATTTATCCTCAAATTGAAATGGGACGTGCTTTATTTAGTAACTAGAAAATCTGTTGTTAAATGCGTGAACAAGTTCATCATATTGAATGATGGAATGAAAATCCAACTCTAATTCCATCTGCTGTGGTAATCGTGCTGAATAAATGTAATAATGTCCAAACGTTTACTTAAAAGCACCGACACAAAGGACTTATCTCCCATTATTTTGATAAACAAAAGAGCTTTTGAATGATGGAGTTCAAATGCTAAATTCGTTAGAGATTACATGCAAATAATGAGAATAAGCGTTTGATTTAGTCTTTGTTATTTTAGTGGGGATTTGAATTCTATCTCTGATTGTGAATTAGTTTGTGGACTCTATGCTGATTTTAATTAACTCGGGTATTAATATTAAAAGTCTTGGTTCATATTATTTGTTTTGCCAAATCTATTTACAGATTGTTGTTGATTTTTAACAAATTTGGTAAAATGATGTGAGTTCGAATCTCAGTTTTCTTAACTTTAAAAATTGAAATTTAAGATGGTAATCTATTACTTTTTTTGCTCATTTTGAATTTTTTGAATCCTAAAAGTTAAAAATTGATTGAACAGGCTTGAACGTTCAAGTCTATATAATTAATTTCTGGATATATATAATTAAAATCATTTAAATCATCATATTTCTCAAATGTATTGAAAATGAAAAATATGCTTAATGCAAAATTGAATTGTATTCAAGAATTTTATAAGTTCGAATCTTATGACAGTACAAAAATGATATTCGAGATTTCAGATATTTCCTTTTTTAGTTTTTTAATTTTTTAACGTTTATTTTAATAGAACTAACGTAAATTGTTTTATTAATTTACGAGCCAATCCAGCAAATTTAATTCATTTCATCGTATGCAAAAGCATTAATAATCGTCCATCATCATTCATAATACAGCATAAATACAGAATTGTAAATGATTGCAAGCAATTTTTCACAAAAAAGTCTTGCAAAAATGTACTGGGGGTCCTCGATTTGAGTAGGTGTTATGTTCCAGAAAAATCTTATTCAAATTGAAATTACTCAATATAAATTATTTACTTTTTATTTGAAAAATGTCCGTTACAAAAGTTTTTTTTAAATTTTCTATTCATTAATTATCGTTAATCAAATCGAATCTATTAAAATCGAGGACCCATAGTATTTTATTTTTGTGTGCTTGGAATGAAAGTTCAACTGCATGTATCTATGACCGTGGTTGGAAAATTCTTGATACTTTTTCTTCTGCATCTTAAATCAAAATCTCAATTCATAAATTTTCTTGAATAAAAGAATGAAAAATCTCATGTTTTATTCATTGTTGAAGAATTTCATTTTTGGGGGGTTCGTGTGGATGAAGCGTAGCTTTAAGGGATGCAGCAATGTAGTAAGGGGGGTTTTGGTACATTTGTCCACTGGACACTTGCCCACGGACACTTGATGTACAATTAACGCTCAAGAATTCCGATCAAAGAGATTTATTGATGCTTCAGGGGGGGGATGTCACTTGAGTTGTATAGAAAAGTTTAAGGTTCAAAACGACCAAAAATGAAATTTCATTATTTTTTATGTTTAACAGGAACCTTCACCGTTAAGTAGAACCTTCACCGATAGAAGCACTAAAATAATAACTTTAGGCATCACCAAATATCCAAACAACCCCCCTCAAATTGTATAAAAACGATTATTAATAGGAATCATAATTAAAACAGATGAATAACATTTGCCAGTTATTATTAGTTCATGAAACTCGTGCATTATTAAAATAAAAAATTGCATGAGCTCATTTGACAATGAAAATATTTTTTTTTGTATAAAAATGGGGGCACAGAAAACATGTAATAGGAAATAAATGGTGTTATGTCACATGAAAGGGATGAAAATGTGCCACAAAGGACTGCACAAAGGAAATAAAAATGATGCCAAAGATGTATTCCAAATGGATGGATTAGCATTTTTATTCAAGAATAGGAAAACCTATAGCACGTAATTTCTATAATGTACCTATCACACGTACTTGTAATATGCCATGCTATAATATTCAGCATAAAGGAAAAACTTTATCCTGGGCTTATTATTAGATCTTTTAAAGGTTGAAACAGCACAGTTGTCATCAAAAAAAAAAAGTTTTATTTTATAGTGAAGTGAAAGGTCAAAGTGAATTGACAACTGCCTACACGCAGCACATGCCTGTACTCTCAATTCCTACTCTCTGTTGAATAAATTAACTATTTTATTCATGTGCTTATAAATGTAAATAATGAACAAAATTGCTTTTAAGAAAATAATATCATTTTGTAGACAATGAAATGAAATAAAATAAAGCAATAAATCGACAAATAACTTAATCAGATTTACTCAAGTGGAATACAAATAAAATCTTTCCGTACATGTGAATAATTTTAATGATGCATCAATTTTGCATATGCAAAATCCATAAAACGGAAACTTTGAATTGCATTATTTACATTTGTACAAAGTATTTGCTGCTGTTTCAATAAGCTTAATGGAATTTCTTAAAAGGGAAGTTCTTGGTTTATGTTGAATTAGTTTGGTGAAAATATTAGGATTTTCATAAAAGGATAATACCTGTTATAGGATAATACAAGAGGTCTTCGATTTGAATATGAAGGATTTTTACTAAAATGTTAAAAAATGTAAAGCATGGAGAGGGCCCAGACCCCTATTGTACCACAATCTTTAGAGATCGTTCAGTCATAACGTCGGAAATTAACGGTCATTTTTAAATAAATGGATTTCCAGGAATTACTATTGATATTTTCTTGTTGACCTCCCTCCCCTGAACGTCATAAGTGAACGGCCCCTTAGACCTACAGTTTATAGTGCAATCCGAACCACTTGCAAGCTCTGCACATTGTTAAGACACTAGTAAGTCTAAAAAACTGATTTACTCTGCAATGTACCTAGTCACAATTCGTGTGTGCATGACAAAATATTAAAATCATCCTGATGATAGTATATCCTAGTATACCTAGCAAAGGAGACACGTTATGTGCCGAAGACCTCAAAACTACTAACGTAAACGAACCGAGCTTCTTAACTTGAACGGTGAAATGGAAAAAAGAGCTTCTAAAACTTGACTTGGCTTGGGATTGAACCCAGAACCTTTGGCACAGAACGCTCTACCACTTAGGCAACTGATGCCAATTCACCGCTTGCCTTCTAAAATGTTAAGAAACTTGATAAATTTTCAAGAGGATGTCTTTCCCAGGGTTGCGATACAGGCACCTGTGCACAGGTGAGAATCGTACAATTCCTTGATAATTTATGCGGGTTTTCTAACAAAACCATACAACTTCTTAGGGCTCGTTCACTTATTACGTAACGCAAAAAAACGAGTTTTTAGACCCCCCCTCCCCCCCCTGTAACAAAGCGTAACAAAATCTCAGACCCCCCCTCCCCCCCCCCCCCATAACGTAACAATAATTTTTTTCATTTAAATTGTTTATCAAATGTTTATTATACTTCCTTTAAGTATGTAAAATAAACAGTTTTACTTATAACTAAAAAGCAGAGATCGAAGCCGATTTTTTCGGCTTAACTCAATTTTTGATTTTTTTGATAGAAAAAAGCCATTTAACACCCATTTCAAGTATTTAAATTGAACTTTATGTGCTTTACTATGATTCTGTGTAACATTTTGTCAGCATGTAGCTATAGGAAGCTCAGAATTTCAAGTTAGCCGATTTTAAGCCGATCGGCTTAAATTTCGGCTTAAAATCGGCTTAACCTTAGGTTGAAAATAAAATAAGATCACACTTTTAGCAAATCAGGATTTTAAAAGTTTTCTTGTGACAACTAGAAATGTAACATAAGTTTTTTTCAAAATATTGTGATTAAGTCCAAGAACACAATGACTCGAAAAGCGTGGGGCTTTGAGATTTGACGCTTCTCTTACTTAAGAACTTAGTTGAACTAAGAAATGCATCCTTAAATTACGCCCCACGCTTATAGAGTCATTGTGTTCTTGGACTTAATCAGAATATTTTGAAAAAAATTTATGTTACATTTCTAGTTGTCACAAGAAAACTTTTAAAATCCTGATTTGCTAAAAGTGTGATCTTATTTTATTTTCAACCTTTTGGTTTTTAGTCTTTTTGATAAAAGCGTGTTTTTTAAAAAGTTTTTTTAACATTTTTTTTATTTGCTACTTTTTAGTCTCAATCTTTCAATCGAATATCGACCACAGCAATTCAAATTCAACTCCACTTCGTTTTACTCCGTTTCGTTCAACTGTTTATAGATTACATTTGTTCATTCATTTATTTTATAGAATTTAAGTCATACCTGGAAACAGATGAAACTTCTTAAAAAATATCCTGAACTTCAATTATGTGCGCTTTCTGTGCTTTTAAAACATTCATTAGTAAAGGACATTAAAAATGAATCTTGGAGATTTTGTGTTTATATACAAATATACTTCAAGCCGTTAATAAATAGAAAAGTAAATTTAATTAAGTTGGTGAAGTTTTATAAATAATGTAATACATTAAAAACAGCATAAATATATGCTCAAACTATGTGTGCTAAATGCATATCTCATATGAATAGTTATTTTGCATTAATTCGTAACGGACTTGTGCTACACGGTTTTTTTGAAAATTCAAATTTTCACTTACGAATATTCATGAAAAAATTACATGTCAATTTTTTTGTCTTACCGGAATATCTTTAGCTGCTCAAATTTATAGTGTAATTAATATTTAGTAATATTAATTAAACTATAATGAATCACATAAATGACTTTTGAGCATTTCAAGTATAATATTTTAAACAAATCAAAATTTTATATCATTGACATTGGATTGTTTTCCCATATAAAAAAGTTTTACTTAAATTTTACTATAATTAAGCATTTTTGTGGTTTCAAAATGTTAAAATATTGTGTTGTCACCGGGAATACGTGTGAATAAAAAATTTGAGCTCGATTGGAGCAGCAGAAGTGGTCGAAAAATCGATTGCAAGTTTTGAACGTGACAAAGAAACCAACAGACAGAGCAACTCAATAAAAAGCATGTAATAATAATAATAATAATAAAAAAAAATTGAGTTAAGCCGAAAAATAAATCGGCTTCGATCTCTGTTAAAAAGTTCTTAAGTTAAAATTTAACGTTAAAAAAATTTAAAATTAATATAGAAAAAATTTTAAAAAAATATATTTTTTGAAAAGTTACGTAACAAAATTTAGACCCCCCCCCTCCCCCTGTAACAAACCGTAACAAAATCTTAGACCCCCCCCTCCCCCCCTAGTGCGTTACGTAATAAGTGAACGAACCCTTATATAACCTCACAAATTATCAGGAAAGTGTAAGGTTCTCCCCTGTACAAAAGTGCCTGTATAGCAACCCTGGTCTTTCCAATCTCTCATGTTTGAAAATAAAGTAGCATCAATCTACTATTAGGCCGTTCATAAATGACGTCAAAAAAAATTAAATGGCCATCGAAATTCTTAAGGTTCAAAATGTTTGTCGCTTGAATGAAGGAAAACGCAAGTTAATGAATCCTTAAGGGATAAACAATCAAGTACATTTCAAGCATAAAGCTTCATCCTCCATCTAAATACTCTGAAACTTTTCCCATTGAATTCCAGCGAATTGCATCCATTAAAGTAAATTGAGATGATTCTCAAATAAAACGAAGATAATGAGAATTGTAATACATTTCAAAGTACCGAGAAGAAACTTTTAATGCTCAATTCAATGTTCAAATGACTTTTAATTTACACGAAAAAAAAATAATTTTTTTCCAGCAGTTCCATCTAATTAGTATTCAATGAGAATCACTTCAATAATTTCCGTAAATAAATGTAAACTTACCCAACAAGCGGACTACTGCTATCCATATATTGTGTAAAAAATATGATACTAAAGAACGAAATCAGCACAAGTGCAGCAACGCACTTCTGAATGTTCCTCTGAACAGTCTTCATCATGTGACAACAAATTCTCGTCATAAAGCTATTCTTATTATTGATTCCGTAATTATTTATGATAATTCCATTTGTACTACTACTACTGCTGCTGCTACTTCCACTTGACAGCGGTCGCATATCATAAAACTTGTGTGGCGTTGAAAACTTTTCATTTTTTGGTGATGTTGTTAATGTCGTATCGTTTGATGTCGCCTTCATTAGCATGGGTATACGCTCGGAAGTATTATTGTTACTGTTATGATGGTGTGAGGACATGGCTTTATGTTTCTAGTAATCTTTTGTAAACTTTCCTTAAATAATAATTTTTTTTTCGATTCACTGTTGTTGACACTTTTGTGTGGGAAAGTTTTCACTACTCTCTTGCCTTATTATGATTATTTCCTAGCTGCTTGTGTGCTCGAGGCAAGTTTTTTTTTCTTCTTTTCTTAAATTTATTTGGTTTCCTTTCAAAAACTGAGAAATTTTTCTTCTTTCCGTTCACTTCAGGACGAGATTTACAGCACGGAATAAAATAAGTAAACACAATTTATGGGTTTCTTGCGCTACTGCACTTCACTCACATGCACAAGCTGCCTTTTTTTAATTACAAACAATTCTGGTTCTTTATATGCACTATTTTTTTTTAAATACAACAGAATGTTGTACGTGACCTGAATGGTTGATTTTTTTTTTGAATTTCAATTCTCGTCTTGTGTCACTGAGCAAGTTCTTTGTTAATTTTATCTCCTTATTCGAGTTACTACACACTACGCTATGAGCAAAAGTTTCAAATTATTTTTTTTTTATATAAAATTTTCACTTCACTATTATTCTTGTGTCTCTTTCTTTCTCTCTTATTCTATTCTCCACTTACTGTGCTTCCAAATGATTTTACGGTGAATTGAAGTCATTTTGTTGTGGTTCAATGCCAAGTATTTGCACGCTACAAAAATCATGTTTCATTAATTTTTGAATCAATGAGCTGTCGATGATTACGAATGAGTCTTTGATGCTGATGTTGCTGCTTCCTCCCTTTGAAACCGGAAACTTTGCCTCGAGCAAACATTTTGAATCGTAAAACATATTCTCGGTTGTATGTTGGGAGATAAAAAAATAAAATAGGAACTAACTTAAGCTACTGTAATATGTGAGATGATGTCGATAGATAGAGACAGGAGCTTATTTTTCTTATTATTCCTGATAATTGATAAATCGTTTCCATTTGCTGGATATTTTGCCAATTCAGTTCAATTTTTCATCTTTTTTTTTGCTCTCCTTCATCCTCCTCCTTAATATTATCGACTGTCTGTGTGTTAACTCTTGATGATGCTGGCTAAAACTCCTAAGAAAAGGGATGAAACAAGAAAAGGAAAAATAAATTATAAACATTGTGACCTACGTTCTGCATGACAGCAAAAAGTCATTAAGTTCCATTTCATTCGAGGGCACAAAACATCAATTCATGTCAAAAATATTGAGGAAAAGGAAATTATCGTTGAATGTTTTGCAAAGAAAAGTTTAATTAAAATTTGATTGGGTCACTTTGATTTGATATTTTTTTTTTTGGGGAAGGCAGAAAGTTTGAGATGGAAAGTTTTTATTTGTTTGTTGTTTTGATATTTCTTCTGTACCTGGATTGAATTGAAAATGTTTGATTTTTGAGAGTTATGGAAGTTATGAAGTATTTACACAGAGTTGGATCAAAAGAGTTGTTGAATAATTTTTAAGGTTATGTCTTGTATAAACCATCAATTTGTAAACCAAATGACTTATTCTGAAAAATCATCTAGCACATCTACATCAGTGGTGGACAACCTTTTTTGAGCCACGGCACACCTTGGTGTTAAGCCATACACAGCTTAACTTAAACACTAATGTACCGCGGCACATGGGTTGGAAATCACTGATTCTACAGCAATAGCTTCATATCAATACGATAAAGCACTTCTCACATCCAGAAAATTCATTCTCCTTTAAAATTCTCATTACTAAAATTAATTTTCATCATCATGAAGCAAAGCAGTCCCATGAGGTTAATGTTTCCCTCATCGCATATTTTCCCCTGTTCATCCCCAACCATTAAGTTCTCAAGAAGAACGAAAAAGTTCATTCATCACAATGTCCTTCTATTGAACTTTCATCTCAAGCACACTCAATTAGTAAAATTAAAATTCATTCGAAGAAATCACTTTGGCAAGATGACATGAATAGGAAAAAAGCTGTTCAATTAGAGACCAAGAGAGAATATGAAGGCAGATGGCAGGATGTACATGATAAGGAAATTTGCCAATAATTATAGGTTATGGTACGTGCGGTACTTTATTGCTTAACTATGATCCTACATACATATATCACTTAACATCCTCAAAATTGCATTTCATTGATTTCATTGTTTAATTAGATGGAATTGTCCATAGCAATACACAAATTTAATTAAATTAACACACACACACACACACACACACACATCAATTTAATTTTTAATTGCGAAACTGCTAATTTCATTAACATTTGACCGACTACATCGAAACATCGAAAATCACTTTAAACAATTATGGAGGTATAAAATGCATAATGTATGTGTGTGGATAGTGCTGCATTTGCAATGTGATAAATATAAATGACTAAAAAATTAATTCATTTTATAAAATTGCAAATTGGGGGAGTTTAAGTAATTCTAGGGAGGAATCTTGTTAGTGATTCAAATTAATTTGATTTTACAATATTTGTTGCAAAGGGGGTTGTACGTAAATGACGTCTGTCATATATTTCAATTTTTAAACCCCCAAATTTTTCTTGTCTTAATACTTTTATATCCAAAAGAGCTGTTTTGACTGTTTAAGACCAGAATCCTTCTGGTTAGAGGTGAAGTAAGGTAGGGTGTAGGTAAATTATAAGAAAGGCCCAGCTTTTTGAGTTGAGGCAATGCAAATTCAATTAAAACAAAATCTATTGTACCTCAACATTAGTCAACCCCTGTAGCAATAGTGCTTTATGCCCAAACCGTTAGTTGCTTCCTCTGCAAAAGGCTAGACATCATTGATGAACGACCCCCTTAAACCATTTTTTTTCACCAATTTGTTTATTTATGGCGCTCAATTTTTCATGTGTGAAGCAAATAAATAAAAAGTAGTCAATAAATAAAAATTTGACTTTTTAATGCAGTTTGCTGCTGCTGCTTTGTTTGCCTCACACTCACTGGATTCGGATTAAAGATTTGTGTGTTTGAGTTGGGACGAGATTTATGGGAATTCGATGTTTGCAGTGTTTTATGAAATTTGCATTTAATGGAAATAAATTCATCCGGTTTTGTGGTCTTTGAGCTTGAACGGTTTTTATTTCCTTGAATATTTTTACGATTGAATGGAATGGAATTTATTTTTTTTTCTATTCTCAATTTTGAAATCTTTATTCATAAAACTTTTTGTCGATGAATATGGAAAATACAATGGATTCATAAATTGAAATTCAAAACTCTCGGATGAAATTTGTGTTGGTTTAATTAAAATTTAAACTTTTTTTTGTAGCACCTGATTGGTGCCGGTTGTAAGGAGTAGTGATTTATTGATGAGATGACTTTCAATCTTGGTTAATCATTAGGTTTCGAACCTGTTGGTTTACTTTAACTTGTTATTAAGGTTTGTAAAGCAACATAGCTCTAAATGGAGCATTAACATCGCTTAGGTAAATTCACAGAGCTTCTGCTAGTTAAATTACAAAAATATCAAGAAGATGCCACAGATCATCAAAGAAACTGCGTATCTAGATACCCAAAACATCAGATTAACCACCCAACTTGTGCTAATGATTGACGTCAGTAAAATAATTCATTTTTTTTCTAAATTTAAATAACATAATTAAATTTATTCTAAATTCTGAAACCTGAGCATCACAAAAATTCCGAGTCTAATATTTCATTCCTCAAAAAATAACCACCAATAAATTTCAACTCATCTGAAATTTCAAATCCCCCAAAAAAATCTTCATAATTAACCGCCATAATTAAACATCCTACGCAAGGCAGAAAGGCACAACATTGAGGTACATTATGTATTTATATTTTTTACGACAGAAACGGTTATATGGATAATTTGACATGCATTTATCTTCATTAGGATTATACAAAATCTAAATAATCTTCGTACTAATCTCCACAGTTGACAGAGATGAATTTATAGCTTAACAAAATGCGCTCTAAATTTCTCATTAGACAGAAACTTTACTTAATTTTCATTAATTTGTTTGTGACGCTATGTTATAGCAGTAAGAAGAATTTGCACAAACAAATAAGCATATCCCATTATGCCTTGTATTGTAGAGCTTTTCCTCCTCTTTGCCTTGTCGGCTTGAAATGAACAAAATAAATGGCGTGTAGCTTTACGCAAAACAACAAGGAATGAATGAGAAGAAAAAAAAAACAATTGTACAGTCAAATGAATTTAGTCAGCTCTATTTATTTGGTTTAGCTTTCAATGAATAAAAATTAAGAAAATGATTCCGCAAAAAAAATTTTCTTAGAAAAAATAAAAGGAAAAAAAAAATTTGAAATTCAAAAAAGGGGCCTATTTGCGCGAGTAAGTGGATGGGCTGACAGATAAAATCTGTGGTTGTAATTCATGGCGAAGAAAATTAAACGAGAGTAGCTGAAGAGCGAACCTTTAAGCACATTACATGAAATGAATTTTAAATGGATGGAATGGATGGATGGAAGGAGAGATGAATGAAAAATGTTTTAATACATAAATATACACAATGTTTTTTTGAGCTCATTTTTTATGAAAAGTTGCTAGAGTTTGGTTCGTAAGTTTGTCAATTTGCTGTCAATCTACAAATTTGTTTCAAGTATATGAATTTGCTGTCAGTTTATTAATATAGTGTCAATCTATGAATTTGCTGCCAGTCTCTCAATTTACTGTCAGTTTGTAAATTTGCTGTCAGTCTGTAAATTTGCTGTTAACCTATCAATTTAGTGTCAATCTATAAGTTTGCTGTCAGTCTGTAAATTTGCTTTCTGTCTTAAATTTGGAGTCAATCTATCAATTTGCTGTCAGTTTATTAATAAAGTGTCAATCTATGAATTTGCTGTCAGTTTGTCAATTTGCTGCCAGTCTCTCAATTTACTGTCAGTTTGTAAATTTGCTGTCAGTCTGTAAATTTGCTGTTAACCTATCAATTTAGTGTCAATCTATAAGTTTGCTGTCAGTCTGTAAATTTGCATTCTGTCTTAAATTTGGAGTCAATCTATCAATTTGCTGTCAGTTTATTAATAAAGTGTCAATCTATGAATTTGCTGTCAGTTTGTCAAATTGCTGCCAGTCTCTCAATTTACTGTCAGTTTGTAAATTTGCTGCCAGTCTGTAAATTCGCTGTTAATCTATCAATTTAGTGTCAGTCCATAAGTTTGCTGTCAGTCTGTAAATTTGCATTCTGTCTTAAATTTGGTGTCAATCTATCAATTTGCTGTCAGTTTATTAATTTGTTGTCAATCTGCTTTCAGTTTGTAAATTTGCTGTCAGTCTGTAAATTTGCTGTTAATCTATCAATTAAGTGTCAATCTATCAATTTGCTGTCAGTCTGTCAATTCTCTGTCAGTCTATCAATGTCAGTATCTCACTATCATAAAATGCGCATTAAAATCACTTATACTTTAATCATTTCCTACTTATTTCTTCTTCCACAAGAAGTGGCAACTTCCGTCAAAGCCACGGCAATAAATATGTAAAGAAAAGCAACGGAAAATGTTAATTGAAATCTCTATTCAGTCGACAGCTTTCTTGGTGTTTTAAAAAGATTAATTCTTCAAATCTCTCGCCGATGATATTATGAAAATTCGTGTGGCTCTTCTGTTCTCCACGTTATTGTTATTGTTCAGCGGGGGTGTAATTCAAAAAGAAGAAAAAAATCCAATTCCATTTAACAATATCTTCTATTATGATGGGATGGAGAAGCAACAGAAAAAAAGTAGCGACATTAAAGGCAAACACAAGTTCCTCTTCTTCCTATTCTTATTCGTTTCTCCTTTCGGATGATGAAAAAGATGAGAAAAAAATTTTATTTTATAAGTGAGACAAGAAAAAAAAAATTGAAGATAAAAAAGAATCCAACAAGTTTTGATGGTTTTTGTTAGATAACTTTTTATATCGAAAACGACGCAGTTTCCATTTGTGAAGATATATTATTTTTAATCTTGACTATCTCTGTGGATATCGCAATTAATTTTAAATTGAAATTTGCATTTGAACGTTTGGAATTCTTGGAACTCAGAATAGAATGAAGGCGTCTTAATTTGGAATGCTTTGGATACTTTGAATTATTAAGAAAATAATTCTGAAGTTTAAAAAA